ATTTCTCTCTACAGATGACTTGGTTTGACTGACACCGGGTTTTTGGAGGTCCACAGCTGTGGCGCCATTAACAAACTATTTAATACGTATTCTTACTAATTTAATTCTCCCATACACATATATTTCACTATATTTTATGAGCGATATATACAGTAACGAACATTAAATCATGTGGCATGCAGTATTACCACTGGCCTACAACGAGATAACTTCTAGTTAGAAACCATAACCTCTAATTTTTGGGATATGTGAAGGTTAAAAGAACAGACAGCGACACTTAGTTTCCGTATTGCACTTTGTACCCATCAGTTGTGCCATAAGCCCAGCTGCGTCACGTGTCGTAAACCAGGGTGTTACAGCGCATTTATCTGCAGAAGCAGCCAGCTACATTTCAAGGCTATCGCTTCTGGCCCCCTCTCGCTTGATAACACAACCCTTTAAGAGGTGGTAACTGCAATTAAAGCACTTTGCTAACAACTGAAATCCGAGTTGGTACATCTAAAATTCTTCCACTAAATATAACTGTCTTCTGGAATGTTGCGCCCTGCTGTCAGGTAGAATTTTACCGACATTTCAGAAATTCTTATTGTCTCCATCATCAGGGCGATTATGATGGAAGCATTTAATACATTTTTTTAAATTTGTGAACTATTTTACAATTTATTGGAAGGGGAGAAAGACTTGCGGCAGCATGGTTAGAATTGCTTCATCTTCGGATGATCATTGATTCAAATCTCAGCTCGGTAACGAGCTATGTTGACTGACATTTTTCGTTTTTTTATTCAGTTCCTTCAAATACTATACTTTACCTTAATTTAGACCACGACCGCTTCCTTCCACATCCTGTCAGTGAATTATTCATTAATCATCTGATTCCATATACAACTAATCTGAGCTTCTGAGAGCGTCATTAAATACGCAAGAAATAAATAAAACATTCCGGAGGGGCAAACAGAAGGACCTAATTATGCCACAAACCAACGTCTCCTACAACAAGTAACGTACACCAAATACTAAAAACAGGAGAACTTACACAAAAATTTGTTTGTAGTTCCAGACATGTACAGAGAACGAAACGTGATGTTCATGAATAGCGTAAAATTTTATAACGCGTTGTAAACAACTTGGAATAAATGCAGTATGTAGACGGATGAAGAATTTTTAAATAAATAAAAATTACGAGGGTCGCTCATTAAGTAATGCCCCACATTTTTTTTCTCAGCCAATAATGAAGATAGAAAAGTGTACTTTTACATGCTTGAGATTTGATGTTTCCCGCGTTCGTGTACGGAGTTTCAAATGATTCCAACCGATAGCGGAGCTGTAGTGAACTGTTAAAATGGCGTCTGTGAACGACTCTCGGTACAAGCAACGAGCTGTAATTGAATTCCTTGTTGCTGAAAAAGAAACGGTGGTGAACATTCATAAACGTTTGTGTGCTGTGTATGGAAGCTGTGCAGTCGATAGGAGCACCGTTGGTCGCGGGGCTAAGAGAGTTAAAGCTTCAGGAAGTGAAGAAACCGAGCTCCGTGATCTGCCGCGCTCTGGGCTGTTGAACCGCGCGGATGCCATTATTCGTGAGGATCGGCGCATCACAACTCGACAATTGGCCCAACAGCTTTCAGACAGCAATGGAATTGTGATTGCAATTATCCAGGCTCTCGCATATTCGAAGGTGTGCGCAAGATGGGTTCCACGAAGTCTCACAGCAGACCACAGGATTCAAAGGAAAACGATTTCTTCTGAATTGTTGGAGCGTTTTGATGCTGAGGGAGAGATCTTTCTGTCCCGGATCATTACAGGTGACGAAACCTGGATACACCACTTTGAGCCAGAGACAAAAAGGCAGTCAATGGAGTGGCATCATCCTCAATCACCGAGAAAGAAGAAATCCAAGACAACTCCCTCCGCCGGAAAAGTCATGATGACTGTCTTTTGGGACAGTGATGGGGTCATTCTTGTGGATGTGATGCCAAGAGGTGCGACCATCAATTCAGACGCGTACATCAGGACCCTGAAAACCCTCAAGAAGCGTTTTCGACGAGTTCGGCCTCACAAGCATCCAGCAGAAATTTTGCTCCTGCACGACAATGCACGCCCTCACACAAGTCTGAGAACCCGGGAAGAAATCACCAAATTTGGTTGAACGGTGCTGCCCCATCCACCCTCCGACTCCATCTCTTTGGGCCACTTAAAGATGCTATCCGCGGAACAAGATTTGAAGATGACAAGAGCGTGATTCAAGCAGTGATGACATGGCTACGTGCACAGGACAAGAGCTGGTACCGGCAAGGCATGCATGCACTTGTTCCACGCTCGCGTAAAACCGTACAAGTTGATGGGGACTATGTGGAAAAATAGTATGTGTAAAGGAAACATTGATTTATATTGTCACTAAATTTCAGCCATCTTGAATAAATATATTCTGAGGAAAAAAATATGGGGCATTACTTAATGAGATTTATAAAACCGAAGGTTCATTACCGTGTTCGGTATAGCCATAAAAACTTCAGTTCAGTACACACTTTCACATTCTATTTAAGATAAACTTTAATATTATCCTTCCACATACGACTTGGTTTCCAATGTGATTTCTTATATTTAAGTGTTCCGACGAAAATTCTTCTGTATTTATAACCTCTGACACTCATGAGTGTTACATGCCACGTCAATCTCATCCTTTTCTGTGATGAAGCCATTAACATTTCTTGAAAAATACAAATTATGGATGTATTCATTATGCAGTTTCATCAGTACTCGTGTTACTTCCTACCCCTTGTATCTGATTATTCTCTTTCGCACTCCTTTCTCAAATACAGTCAATTTATATTCTTCCCTTAGGCTGAAGAAACATTTCTTAACCATATACAAGAAGAAGAAAATATTTGAAAGATTTCAGAACAGTTTATTTTAAAAATGGTTGTTGCCTTTAGTCATAAATGTACATTTGTTAGCCGATATTATGCATTTGAATGTCACTGAACCACTGGCTCATAATTCCCCAAAACACCTGACACTAAAGGCCACCAACAGTTGTCCTGGGTGACCCCCAATGTATCCGGACGCTACCATTAAGTAGCGACCACTATCTTCTTTATTTTACATTCCTTTCTGCGGCTTTATATTAAATTACATAGTCAAATAGATACCACAACACATAATTAATACAGTTAATCAGTGATGTAATTAATATTTTTTACCATATTAATATTATAAAAGTTATTATATCAAACACCGTGCTGTATAATTTTCTGTTCTGAGCAGTCAGCATCCACAAAAATCAAATGAACAGCTTTGTAAATATGGTGGTCTAGGGGGGGAAGCAGTGCTGGGTTAGGGTCCCATGGTTCGTCAGTGGTTTTCGCCCTGTTTGAGTGATGCCCGTTTTTCTATATGATGCGTGTGGTTCGAATAAATTTAACTAAAAACAGAATTTCCATAAAACGCAATTTTCTTTCATACGCTCCTTAAACTAGGTTCCAAAATCGTGTCTGTATGTCCGTCCGCATGTTTCATATGAGAGATACTGAAAGAATTTAAAATAAATCTGTTCTATACTAAAACTTTTTGAGTAAATTTCATGCTCAATTCTATTTCCAATTTTGGAGATCTGAGATTCGGAGACTGTCTATTTTGGCTAAATGGTTTATCATAATTCCTTAGTTTCTGAAGGCAAATTGCGAGATATTAATCATAACATTTTACATCAAAGTGACATCTGATTTGTTTAACACGCTTCAGAATTCACTAATTCTTCATTTTGTCCACAAAGTGTGTTTATGGGGGTTCACAACGATATGACAAGAGAACGATAAGACACATTGGTTGACCGTTTAAAGCCGAGTGTTACCTATTTGTACCACCTGCTTCAACACAACATTAACTGTATATTTTATAATCTATGGGTTTCTTATAATTCTCAGAGAAAATAGCATAAGACCAACTGATATTTCTTGGTATAGACTGAATTATTAAATATTATTTAGACGAGCATTACAATGTTAAATTAGGCCACAACATCTTCATTCAGCATTCATAATTTTATTGATCATCCTATGATACGTCTCCACATAATCTGAGATGTTAACAGAGCCTTTAAGTAAACCATAAATAAATGTCGTATACGTAAGTGATATATATTAAAATCCAGTTCCTTGTAATTTATTTCTCAAATCACGCCCTGCTCACTCCACAAAAGAAACCCTAGACACACACTGTGTACGCAGTTAGGTTGATCAAAGTTTCTCCAAAAATACCTCATCTGTGATAAGACTGAAGAAATAAAAAGCAAAACTTTGCTTCTGACGATGTCAACAAAAAAAAGAAAGAAAGGAAAGAAAGAAAAAAGAGAAAAGAAGATTGGGGGGGGGGGCAGGCAAGACTAGAAGGACGTCACCTCTGTAAATATTTCGAGACGACAACTAACTGATTCTTCTTCCATGGCAACACGACTTTTCCCTAGAAAACTTTTTCGATGTATGTTCTTCTTCTCTCCCTCCCCCCGTTCTTTCTTTTCATTTCGTCTACGTCTCTTCCCACTTCCATCAAAATCTTCTTCTTATTCTTGGTCGGAGTCCGCAAATGCGCCATGTCTACTCAACTTTCATTTGTCACGCACATGCACGAACGCTGCGGTCATCTCAGGCCAAACCTTTTGAACACTGCTCAATATCACATTAAGAACATTGCAGTCATCATTTTAAATTCGTATTTACACACACCTAAATATGTATTTAAAAAATCTATCTAATCTATTGCAGTTCAGAATATTTTACCACTTTTCGGTCAGCGTTATCTCGAAATAAATTGTACAGACAACCCCCCCCCCCCCCCCCCCCCCGAAAAAATACAAAATTAGACTGTCTAGATTGCTAATGTTGGGAGTGAACTGAACTTGCTCCTGCAATACCAGACACAGACTACTTGTCGTACACTGGAGCCCGACAAGTTTCAGCTCCAGTAAGGCGAAACGACTCGCATTCAGTTACCGTGGTAACGGTTAAACAGTGACAGGCCGAAGAGTGTAAAGTCGTATTACAAGTAATTAACAAAGACAAGACAAAACAATTCAAGACTGTTCCATGACAAAGTAAGTACAGAATTCTTGCAGATAGACGATGACGTAAAAGGTCCTGTCTGTAAACCTCACAGCATAAAATTATTAGTGTAATTCCAATAAATTTTTCTTTCTGTCACTACAGAACACCACTTATCCACATTAACAATTTTATTATAATACGTCGAAGATATATTACATTAAATGATAATTATTTTTAGCTTTATCGTTAGCTTGCTGTCATTTTTTTATTACTTCAAAGACTCATTAATTATTTAAGTGATGTGAAACCCTCATTTTCTTTAGACGCTCTAGATTTGATTTTATATATTTTATTCCTGTCCCTGTGTTATTGTATTTTATTGCATTATTTTTAGTTTATTACTTAAGCCTGTTATTTTATTCAGCGCCATATTGTCACTGGCAGTTCACTGTTTTAAAGCAATTATATGAATTAATTAAATTACCTTTAAATTTCTATTGCGTAACTATCTTTACTGACCACATCATACTTTAAATTTTAATTTTATTATACAATTATTTTTAGTTTTAATATTTCTCACGTGACTTTATCTCGTTAAAATGAAGTTTCAACCACACAATTCCCCTTGTTCTATGACAACTATGCTGTACTTAACAGCCTAAATTAACGTTCAGCGGAATTATATAATAGTCATGTAAATTGGCGTTGGGATTAGGCAGTGTTATGAGACATGCAAGTGTCGCCAGCAGTAACGGGTGAAACTCGGGGGAAATCAGGGGCCCTTGTCTGCCGTAGATTGGGAACATGGCCGGCCAGTTGCGCGGTTTAACGTCTTCTCTGCAGCATTCACTAATTAGGCACTGACTTAATTCATATCGCATACAGCAATTCGATAAAAACAGCCATTTTAAGACCATGTTTTTATAAACAACGAGTTCGATCCAAAACTGTCCCTTCTACACAGAGTTCAGAATTGCGCTGTTCCCCGGACGACATTACGGAGCCATTCAAACATTTCAATCACAGCATACTTTTGTCTAATACCAAAAAAAAGGTCATGCTAGACAATCTATTAGTCGCTCAGCTAGTCAGAAGATTTCCCCACATATTATGAAATCGAAAGGTTCATTATCGTGTTCATATCCCGCCACTGGACCATATCCTGAGAAACTTGAATCCAGTCAAAATCTGATAAAAATTTACAACATAACTTTGGGAGTTTCATATGGATTCATAAGCATCTGAAGCCGAAGCTGATCTAAATATTAATTAAAGATTGAGTTCCAACCGCAAAGAGAACACAACGTCTTCATAACAATTCAATTCAATTCAATTCATTTATTTAAGTGTTTGCCAACAGCAAGAAGCCAGTAACAGGCACACACTGATAATACATACATACACTAATAATGAAAAATATTTCAAAAACAAATTAACTAAACATAAATATTTCTCTGGCGCATGCGTCACGATCTAATTGTTAAAGCTGTACAAGGAAATAAATGTTGTTCATTCTGAGAATCATTCGAAATCCATCAACACACTCTGTCGATAAAATGTAGAGTTACCGTTGTTGAAGCATGTGTTTACATAAAGTTACCACCAAACATTTCTCGGTCCCCTCTCTCTTTAGACCTGGTAGAATCCACATTGAGTAAATATCTTGTACAATGTCCTTTGTCTTTTAATGATTTTCGCCAAACAGTAAAGTTTATTAATGTCTGCCGTAGTTGCAGTACTCCATCTTCAACCCTGAAGATGGAAAGGATATGTGCCTCCGAAACGTTGGTATGAACCTATAAGTTTACACGTTATTATGCAGAAGATAAATATCGATATCTCAGTCGCAGTAATTACTTCAAATCTCGCATCTTACTTTATTACCACAAGTCTGAACAAACAGAGATGTATCCCTCTTGCATAAAAATCTTGTTTTTGGAACAATACAACATAAGCTTGGTTATATTAATACAACCAGTAGACTTGTAAACAACTTGTTTTTGTCACAGTGTGTTTCCCACGGAGTGCTTTACGGAATTGTGTAAATATCACCAACAGAGGGAGGACGAAAATGAAAAGAAGGTTGGAGGAGGAATTTCTAATCTACAGCAGGGAAAGTCGGTAAGCCGTGATAACAAGTGTAAAAGCGCTTTAAATCCTCACTGTCAGCATACTTGACATTGCGAGTGAAAGCATTATGAGATCATAAAAAGGTATGACAAGTCTGGACATCAGTGGCGTGCAAGAGAAGAGAAACGAAACAGTGGCGTGATGTCTGGAAGTACACGTGTACTTACTCCATGGAGCCGAGCCATTTCCTGAGAAGCCAACAATTGCTCAGACACTAAAAAAATTCCCAACATTTTATGGAACCCAAATGTTCATTACCGTGCTCAAAAGAGCCAGCCACTGGTTCATATCCTGACCCAGATCAATTTTAATATTATACTCCCATCTTCGTCTAGGTCTTCCTAGTGATCTCCCTCCTTCTGGTTTGCCACGAAAACCCTGTATGCATTCTTCTACTCTCCCATGCGGGCTACATGTCCTGCTCATCTCATCTTCCTTAACTTGATCATTCTAATTAGATCTGACGAGGAGTACAACTTATGAAGCTCCTCATTACGCAACTTTCTCCAGCATCCTAGTAAATCATCCCTTTTGGGTCCAAAGATTCTTCTCAGCACCCTGTTCTCAAACACCCTCAGCCTACGTTCCTCCCTTAGTGTCAGAGACCCAAGTTTCACACCCATACAAAACTACAGTCAAAATCATAGTATCATGTATTTTAATCTTTAAGTGTTTGTACAGCAGACAAAGATACAAAAGGTTCTAAACTGAATGGCAGCGAGCATTACCCAAATTTAATCTGCTCTTACTTTCCTCATGAATCAATTAGAGCTTCTTTGTTTTTCTTTATGGTATTTATGTTATCCCCCAGTATATTTACATCACCGTATACTGGTGAGTCATTTTTAATTTCAGTCCCACGTGGTTTTCTTGGACCTACCTAAATGCATATTCTAAAGCAAAACTGAAATCGATGGTGTTAAAGCATCTCCTTGTATCAGACCATTTTTAATATAAAACGTGTCAGACAAATATTTACCTATACGGACTTTATTATGGGTTCCATGTACACCTGTAACCACGAGAGACTATTAGCTTCTCAAGAAAAATTCAGCTTCATGGAGTTATTTACACATTATTCTATCAGCAGCAATCACGAAACTTACATTCATATAAATACGTATATAAAGACACACGTTAGCCTTATGTTCCAGCCACAAAGCTTTCCTCTCTTTGTAAATTCATACGCACGCTTGCTATCGTTTGAGAAGTGAGTACATGCGTGGTTTCAGCTTGCAAAGGCCTGGCAACCAGGCTTATAACGTGGCTTGTCAACAGAATTCAGATCCTAAAATAGTACTAGCCCGCAGTACAGCGGTCAAAGTGTAATGTATTTACGCGACCATAATCCCAGGAAAGTCAATTAAGCTTATAAACTATGTAAACTGTACTTTAATTTACAAAGTCATTGCCCAAGAGAAGCAGAGAGACTGGCCTAATTGAGTCTTATGCTATTTAACAACACTGTTCCAACTGAAAAGTTTTTGTGACGGAAGAAATATAAAGAAAATATTTTAGTCAGTAAGGATTTGAAATAAAGCTTTTGTGACCGTTTTAAATACTGTTATCACAGAAATGGATTTTAGAAACATCGAAACACCACAAAAGTTTCGATCGGCACAGCAGGTAGCCTAAGTAGATGGAAATCAGAGCTGGATATTTCCCGAGAACAGGGTTCAGATGTTACCTTTACAATGACATTGTAGTTTTCTTAGTGCGGGAAATATATAAGCAATCTGATGACAACCCGACAGGGAAGTGACGTAAAAGTTTTTGTTACAAAACTCGTTAATCGCGGCATACACGAAAGCAAACACAATTAATTGATACATTATAGATTATGGTTTGTTTTGTCTTTTTTGGTTTTCTGCACTGTGTGACGTTCCGGCTGTGCTGGAGCTAAGTGTAATTTACTTTTAAGTCACATTCATGAAGAAGACTTGCACATGTTTTTGTTTAGTAGTTGAAATTGAAGAATCAGGGTGAAATCCACACTTCGAGCTTTGCGTGTAATCGATCAGAAGATGTCTGAGAGTACTATGCAGGGACCAGGTCAAAAGAGTAATAAATCTTTATCTTAATGAAAACAGCCAAAAACTGGCTGCAGCAGATGAAATTGGAATCCTTTTGTTTCAGACCAGCACTCAAGAGAGAAAGACGAGAAAGGAAACTAAAAAGCAAAAATAATGAAAATGAAATGTTAAATTAGCGAACAAATAATAAAGAGATGAAAAAAATCACCATAACAGAAATATAGGCTATAGAAAAAGAGTAATAAAGATAGATAAAGGAAGAAAAACGGTAAGAATAATTTAATAAATAAACAAATACAACTGAAGTCTTGGGTCAGCGTACCCTCTGCAGATGTGATAGGCCATTCGGTTGGTAAGACTGCGGTATCCTGTAGCTTAATGGCAGAGAAACAGATTGTGCCGACCTCTGGTATGGATTTTGTTATTTGTCTTCAAGAAATGGCAACACGTACAACATAGTAGCAGAGCGAGTCACAAGTCTTATGTGTGTCAAACCATTTATATGCAGACGGGCGCTCCGTTTCGTCTTTTTTGGATGCAACTCACTACGGTCAGAATGGACGTACAATCTTACTGCAGTTGGGTCTTGTCCCATGATTATTCCTCTGTATCAAAATCCACACACAGGACAGTTTGCCTTTCTTGAATTCAATTTAAAATGACTAAACATTAGTTAAAGAAGAAAGTCTTCTTGAATTTATATCGTATAGTCTGGTTCATAGAAGTTTCAGAGGTGTTTGCTGCCTCCATTATCAGGGCGAGTAGTTAATTTAGGCAGCATTAAATGTCGGTAAACTTCTACCAGACTACAAGACACAACACTGCAGAAGAAAGACACCACGAGAATCTTATTTAAAAATTCATAACTTGGAAAAGTATCGAATTTATAAGTCTTATTCCTCCTCCTCAAAATTTGGGACAATTTTTAATACAACGAAAAAATAAATTCTTAGAAAGTATGGCAGCAAATAAAAATTATATTTACGGAATATTTATGGCAGATTATATTCGAAGAATATTTTAAAACATTCAGTTTACAAGTTCTAACTTAAAGCCGTCAAAGTAAACGATAAAAATTAAAGTCCATAAACCCACAAATTTATGTTATTTTATGGGTGTGAAATATGGACCCTGTATCGAAAAGCAAAACGTAATCTGAGAATACAGACTGGGATAAAAAGATGCTGAGTAGAATATTTTGGATCAAAGGCAGAGGAGGTAACAGGGGGTGGAGAAAACTACATAACAAGGAATTTTACAATTTGTAATCCGAATCCGATATTATTATGGCGACTAAGTCTATGGGGATGATATGGGAAAGTATGGGACAATAATACGCGCATACAAAATTTTAATATTCCCGTCTACCAAATTACACGGCACTATAACCGAGAATACAGCCATCAATATTAAAAATAATCTTAGAAAAACATGGTATTGAACCTTCTGGTTTAATAAAAGTGAATAATGTTTCTCATTAACGACCAAATAATTAACACGTTTTGTGGCTTTTACAGGTGGCGCTGTAACACTGTGTTTCAGGTACCATTTTGCAATAAGCTCTGATGCAAGGCAGTTGAAATAACAGTCTAACAACGTTAAAGTGATGACTTATCCCTGGTTTAAATACTTCATTACTATGAATAACATTCTTGACGTTACATAAAGTATTTAATAAAGTGATTTCGAGTTTACTTTAGAAGTAAGATTGTCAGCTTTGTTAACAATTTAGATTTTGTCGGTACTTAGAAACATGCGTTAATGAAAGTGGGAACTTTATAAATTATAGAGCAAGGTTATTCGTCTTGCCTGCTGTCAAACATGCCAAGCCGAGACCTTCCTTGACAGATTGCTCGCACAGTGACCATACTTCTGTCAAAAACAGTTGATTACGAATAACGGATAATTGGATTTTCAAACTGTCACTCGGATTGTGCATCAAATAAATTTATACCGGATTCTGTCAGGTCTCAAATCCCGTGCGTTTGTTTAGTTACGACTGACTGCATCGGAACTGCCAAGCAAGCCACAGTGTTCGATTATATTCACCAAGTTTTCCAGTTAGTTATTCAGCACTCACAAACACTGCATTTATGAAGTTTGTTTGTTCGTTTGTTGAAACCGTACAATCTTATAGGCGGCTACCAACCTTTCGAAGGAATCTACTGCTTCCATCTTCATGGTAGAAAATGCGTTCCATCTTCACAAACCATTAAACCACACTCGACTTTTCAACCCCGTGTTAACTTCAAACCTCAGAAGGTAGCTCATAGATTTATCGTTTGGTTAAATGGACCATTTACTGACTGAATCACTTAGTGAATGATTTACTTATTTCGTAACTGACAGACTGATCGATTCGTTATTTCCTTTTGTAATCTTCCAATCTCTTATCGGCAATTACTTCATCCGAGTGGCAGGTTCTAGACCTCATACACCTAAGTGGTAAATATCTTGCATCAAACAGTAAATTGTAAACCCATGCCATTTCCTAGCTAGAGGTCGACTTTTTTCATACCGGGATAGACGCCTTGATGTCACAATAAGACAAATGCTTAAGATTCTGTTTGGACCATATTCCATTCCTCTTATGTGTCATACATGTAGAATTTATGTGGAAATATGGCCCTTCACATAACAATGCTTATTACCCTATTTCTAAATACTACTGTATTATCGAAATCGAATATAATACCCAATGGAAATCTGTTTACATTAATATTATCACCATACCTGCAACTAATGCTCTGTATTTCTGATATGCTCTTTTCATAAGGACCCATATAACGCGGGGATTTAAGACTGAAACAAAGGCACTTTGAAACTTAACACGACGTATCAGACAGGGAGAAGAGTCACTTTTAAAACCAATCACAAAAAACAAGAATTTACATAAAATTTAGCATTAATAAGAGAGTTCTGAAAGACCAAAAGTGCGAAGGAATGTGAGTTTTATGAATTAAATAAAAATGAAGCAAGCAAACATAACTCTAGCATAAAAATACGATAAAATACTTTATCCAACTGATTTAATTTCAATCACAGAAATGCATATTATAGAAACGCTATGAAGAACATATATAAATTAAAGTTAAAACCGAGTATTTCGGTACTTCAATTTTATACATTACGAATATGTCATGTTATACTCACATTACATCGAAATGCAACTTCTCGCTTTATGATAATTATGTCTTCCTTACCTGAAAAATAAATAATACAAATTATTATTTTCATGTTGCATAAACAAGAGAGATCAAAAAAATGATGTCACATACCCACACTGTTACACTATATAAAGAAATTATATGACCTGTATGCTTACAAACATATTTAAAATGAATTATGATTAGTTATTATTATTAATGTGTGTTCTTTAATTCTTCAGTTGTCTTCCTACAGACGTGGCTAGATTTAACGTATTTAACGTGAACTTAAAGGCCACTACCGAAATCACAACACCCCTAAAATTTACTTTAACCTGATACATACAAATCCAGTCCACACATACTCCGATGCAATATAATATTATTATCCCATCTAAACCTAGGTCTCTGAATAGACGATTTCCTTTCACGTCAATTTTAAAGGGTACTGACGATGGTGTGTTTTAATCCGAATCACTAAATTCTTGGACTGCGTCCATCGTCTGTGGTTTTAAAGGAAAAAACGTTTCGGAAGCCAGATCTGCTTCTGTCCTTAGGTGTAAGCGTGGGTAGGGGAATCTACTGTTGACCAAACTTGATCTCAGGTGGTTACATAGATGTGAGTTATACTGACTTAGTTTATCCAGTAACTGAGGTTAGCACTTTCTATCGGATCCAAATGAGAAGGTGCCCCTCCCTACTTTTTGACCTGAGGACGGAAGCAGATCCAGCTTCCGAAACGTGGTGTTCAAAACACAGATGACGGACACAGTTCAAGAATTTAGTGATCCCGACTTCTTATCACGCACTGCACGCCTCATCACGGCTTATCAAGATAAATTATAAAATTTCTATAATGCATTAGCACAATAATAATGACAGTCAAAATATAACATAAACAGATTAGGTATTCGTGTGTTTAATCTAGTGGTTAATAACAACAGCTGAATTTATTAAACATTTGAAACGGAATCCATTTTAGTGAGTTCATGTAACGGAGGCGTTTCTACATCTCGCATAAAAACTAGATGAAAAGGCGTAAATGTGAACCAGAGCTCGTGATATCTCTTTTTAATCAGTTCTAGTTCTAGAAACATCGCATGCATTGCTCCCACTCGACTCCACTCTCATTACAGAGTCAGTTGTGCCCCACTGAATGGCGGTTCCGGACCCCGACAATGCATCTTTGGGTCCACAGAGACACAGGCCTCTTTCCGTACCCAATTCGTTTTAGTGAATATTATAAAATATGGCAGCCTCATTACTCATAGGTCGGACAAAGTACTTAACTTTCAACACTGAATTAATAGCAGGGTAGGCTAGGCAGCCGGTTAATATCAGAGACGTTTTTTAACTTCACTGATTTCTTTATTTGAGCTGAGTTGCTGGTTTCGAATGGGAGGTGAACAAACGCATTGTACAGAATGTTGCAACAAACATCTTAAATTTCGTAGCCTAAGAATTTCCGAAGCGAGAGACAACAGATGTAAATTATTGTTCTGAGCCATCAAGAAAGAAAGAAAGAAAGAAAAACTGAGAGTCATAACAAATAAGAAAAGGAACACATAAATAAAAGGAGAAAGAAATCAGAATAAATAACAGAAAAGTGAAGTTAAAGAATAGACAAAAATTCTGAATGAGATATTTTCATAAGAGTTGGCAATACTGAAGACATATTCAATTAATAGGAATCATTATTTATGAAAGAAAATGTTGCTAAAGCTTAATATCAGCTAAAAACAGTTTTGTTATTCTCTTTTAATTATGTAATGATTTATGTTCCACGGGGATGCAGACGTCCACATAAACAGAACTCGAACCAAACTCCATAATCACTGTTGTGATTCAGAGACTTTCATAAACTCCGTTACGTCTTGTAAATACCGCGGTAAAACTATAAATATGTTTATTTTATTTAAATTTTACCTCTGATTTAAAATAGTTCAGAAAATAGAATTCTCCTCAAAAATATTCGAGTACCCTGTGAATAATATTTATCCATCTGTTTACTTTTCCCGGTAAAAACATTTTCCGACGATAGTTTGCTGTTTCTTTCTCCGATACATAACTTCGGAGACACTAACACATAAAAATGTTGAAAAG